TGGACTGGGCAAACACTGAAAACGTCACTGATTGTGGGATCTATGTACTCCGTCATATGGAGACATTCCGAGGGACTCTACAAGACTGGCGGCCAGGATTCAAGAAAAATATGCGCTTGAATGTAAGACTACCATACATATTATAGTTTCAAAATACATTAAAAAATAAATAAAACTGCGAATGACTAATTACTTAATGTTCTTTGTTTATAGGCAAGCTTCATGTGTGAATTGCGAGCGAAATATGCTGCGAACCTCATAAAGTGGAGAATGAATGAAGTCAGGGGGGAGGTTCTGCAAGCGGCCAAAAGAGTTTCGAAGAAGAATTGAATGAATATTCTTCAACATGTTGACTGAATTCTAAACAATTAGAAAGTTTTTGTGAACTACATTGACAATGTGACTTGTATTTTGTGAATGTAGATGCATGATGTTAATAGCTAAATAACAATTTACATCTGATCTATGCACCTCTTTCTCTTTTCTCTTCTTTTCTTTTCTTTACTTTTTTTTTTTTTTTTTTTTTTTGTTTTCATGTATCAAATCTATAATTGCATAACTACTATAAATCCAGAATTGCAAAACTATAGTTCCATAATTGCATAACTATAATTCCATAATTTCATAATTATAATTCCATAATTGTATATAAACAATTCCACAATTGCATAACTATAGTTCCATAATTGCGTAACAATAATACCATAATTGCAAAACTATACATCCATACTTGCATAACTATACACCACAATTTCATAACTACAAATTCCATCACAATGGGGACTACACATGCATAAATGCATAACTATATTTTCATAATTGAATGACTATAATTTCATAATTGCATACCTTTCATAATTGCATGACTACAATTCCATAATTGTATAACTATAATTCCATAATTTCATAACTACAGTTCCAAAATTGCAAAACTACATATCCAGAATTACAAAACTAAAACTGTATAATTGCATAAAATCAATGATAACAACTTGTATTTCTCAATCTACACCTACATTGTCATCTAAACCCTTACTAAACTGAACAAAATCTGAACTTGAAGAACTTGGATGTACAAGGTATCCATCCCCAGCAAGCTTGGATATGTTTTCCAACACCAAAGACTGAACAGCACCCTTTGTACTCAATGCAGCTTTATTTGCAGCACTCCTTCTCCCCCTTGCAAGACTGTACTTCTTTTCAATAACACCACTCCTCCTTTTGTTACGCTCACCTTTCAATCTCCGACTTGAAGGATTTTGAACACCACCACTTGAAGATGAAACACCACACTCTTCAATATGCACATGCCCAACCTCGGCTTCAACCTTTTTCTTTACATCATCAACAGCCTCGTCACACAGTTTCCTCGCTACGCTGCTATCTTGACTAGACACAACTAATCTTTGAAATTTTCTACTAATATCGAACACCCAAATTGATGGAGGAACACCAACATTATGAACCATAGAATCAATGTTGACATTCCTACCATCAATAACCTTTTTAGTCCATCTTTTAAGTATATATTTGTCGGGAATACTAGAAACACAATGTACGTGAAGAATGCGTATACAATGACAACATAGAATTCCCAACTCAGACATCAACTTGCAACTACAAGAAATGTCCAAGTTGGCTGCATTAAAACTAACCTCATGCCTTATAATATCTATATCTGGCCGCCACACGTGATACTTCTGTTGATGACCATCATTCAACACCATCTCTTGATGACACGCACTGCCTTTCATGAATTGTTCCTCAAACAGAAAATATATCTCAATCGTGTATACCTCTCTAGCATGTGAAAGAAGTTTCACATGCTCCATCATCATAGCGGGTACCCCTTGAGCACACCGAAAGTCTTCACCGTTCTCTTTACTTCTCCATTCAGAAATTACGCTTACAAACGATGAATAGAAATCACAAAGACCCGCTGTCTTGGACAACCTTCTAGAAATCGAATGATTTGTAGTTTCACTCCTTTGTGATGATAGAATGCCCCCAGAAAAATAGTCCTTGTTAAATGCTGGACACCACTTCTCCCTACAGTCATATAGCTTTTCTAACCAAGTATTCTTGTGACATTTATAGTCAGTCACCAACCTGAAAATGGTAAGACAAAATCCCAAATGATTATGAAGCAGAATATTAACAAGCAGCATCACCACATCTAACACATACTCAGAATTTCTATTGCTCTATATACATAATTGGAATACTATATGTCCATAATTGATAGACTATATATCCATAATCCATACTACTACATTTCCAGACACCACCAGTAAGTTCAACTGCTATATATCCATAATCGGTATACTATATATCCATAATCGGAATACTATATATCCATAATCCATATACTACATTTCCAGACACCACCACTGCTATATATCCATAATCGAAATACTATATATCCATAATTGATGCACTATACATCCATAATTACAAACGTAATGCAATAAAAACGATTAATTACTAACATACCTTGTCCAATAGAATTGAAATTCAGCTTCGGTCTCTGTGTATTTCAACACGTAGTTAAACATATCCAAGAAATCCTTATTGCTCCTTAACGTCTTGATATGCTTCTTTGAATTCTCACCGATATGCCATATGCAAAGACGATGACGTGATGTTGGAAACACTTTAGATATAGCAGCAGCCATAGCTGCACATTGATCTGTCATAATAGTCTGTGGAGACTTGTCACCCATTGATCTTGAAAACACTTTAAACAACCACACAAACGATTCTATCCTCTCGTTCATCAAAAACCCGCATCCAAACATTACATTCATGCAATGGTGATTCATCCCTACGAAAGGGGCACAAATCATATCGTATTTGTTTGTGCGATATGTCGTATCATGCACTAACAAGTCCCCAAACACCTCGTAATCTCGTCTCATTTGACCATCCCTCCAAAAAAAACTGCACAACCTTGCATCCAAGTCAAGTTCAAAATCAAAGAAAAAATCAGTCTCGGTAGACTGCCTCCTCCTAAAAATTTCAATTAAAGAGTTAGAATCCGTTCCATCCAATCGCTTGACAGTATCCGCAGCCATTGAATTATAAGCATCTCTACTAGTGAAACCAACTAAAGGGGACCCCCCCGATTGGTGTTTTAGGAACCTAATACCATCTGCCAATGCAACACCACTGTCCTTCAAACCTTGTAAATATAAGAGCTGATTATCTCCGACACTCCTATGTGAACGAAGTAGATGACTCTTGTTGAACACACATAACTCGTGATTGTGCACTTTCTCGTGTTTCGTAACTGTCCACAACCCATCATCACCCACGTCAAATTGAACAAACGCTCCACACCCTGTCCTTGTGTCAATTTTGGAATAAGCCTTAACCCCACTGTTAGCCTTGTAACCAGCCTTAGAACAACAAAATTTCTTCATTTGAATTGTGTTCGAAGATCCCTTGTATCGTTGATGACCCTTCCTCACACTAAAACCAAGTCTATATGCATAACTGTTATACACCTCAAAAGCCTCATCAGCATTACTTACTACCAAACCAACCAAATCTTGATCAACTGCAAATATAACACAATAATAACCATTTCCATTAACACATAATTCCTAACCATAATTTGCTAATTAAAAGGTAAACCACTATGAATAAACTTGGAATTGATGAAGATCCATCAACATCTACATCTACTTGATCTGAACTCACTGAACCATCCACAATGCCTTCACTAACTACATTATATAGACATGGTGAACATTAATTCAAACAGTTCATCAAACAGAAAAAACAGAGTGTCTACAGATTCTGTATATATAGTTATATGATTATGGAAATATAGTTATACAATTCTGGATACACAGTCGCAACAAACTGCCAAAACAGAGTACCCCTAATTCTGAATATATAGACATGCAATTCTGGAAATATAGTTATGAAATTATGGAATTATTGTTTTCAAATTCTGAAATTGTTGTTACACAATTATGGAAATTACTTACGTGATTTTGCACAACTATTTGCAGATTCTAGACACAAACATCACTGCTAATCACATAATCATACAAAAAACCAAAAGGAACGATTGCAAAAATAATAACAAGATCACCTTGAATCGAATGCCAATCATCAACTGCGGAATTCGTCTGCTATGTTCCATCCTCCATCTATCAATCACTTTGTAATTCCCGATTTCGATTTGCGATTGCGATTTGCGAATGCGATTGAGATTGCGATCGCGATTCCGGTGATATCGAATGCCAATACCACAGCGAACAACTGCCAACGATCGAGTTTGAAACTTGGAAACAAACTCAAAAGGAATTTGGAAGTAAACGCCGTTAACGGAATTTTTTTTTTTTTTTTTTATAAAACCCCGCGTCATTAGGCTAAAACGACGTCGTGTGGATCTGTATGCACCATGCACGGTGCATACAGATCCACAGCATAATTTGCCTGTTCAAACAGTCCAAATGTAATATTATCTCTCCGCATCCTTTATCTTTCAACCAGGACAAAGCTTCCCAACATGCCATAGCCTCTGTCATATAAGGATCTAACTGACTGCCAAGAGGACCACTAATAGCTGCTTTAAAGTCAGCATTTGAACTAATAACCACCGCCCCAAAGCATGTTCTCCCTTCACCAGGACAATTATTAAACAAAACATGACTAATAGTTTCCACAATATAACTCTGTATCAACCCCCTTCTGACCAAGAGAATATTGTACTGGTAATATACCCTTCACCAACCTCCAAATAAAATTCTTTTTACTTTTGAAGGTATCTTCAACATCCATAATTTATTCCGGTTGCAGAATCGCTACGGATTTACCAAAAAATTTCCCCTGAGCAACTTATACGCATTGCGAACTGAGTAGTGTCCCCTTATATTTCCATTTCAATTCCCTCGTGTAGGTGAGGATATTGGATGTCTTAAGGAATCCCATTCCTTATGGAGTTGGCATATCAAACATGAGAACATAATTAAACCGCAAATTTCAACTTTCAAGGAAGCAGCAAATTAGGTTCTCATTTTACAACACAATGGACAATGTAACATATTCTGGGCAGTAAAGCCCTTAAATTTACATGAAAATACAAGACAACACAGAGAGGAGAAATGGAAAAGCAAAAAACAGAAGAAACCACAAACTCTCCTCACAGAATGAAGTGATTTTACAGCAGAACATATTACATACACCTCTCTGATGCGAGATCAAGTAGAGAGCGGAAGAAATCGTGAGGATACATTGGAGGCTCCTCCGCAAGTGCCTAAACACACAAAACGAAGATTTAATGAGTTAATATCAATGCCCAGAAAACATTTTTGACGATTTTGTATTTGCTTCAATTTCAAATAGATCATAACACTCGAGCGTGTGAGTTTGAAGGTGTTGAAGAAGTTGAAGGAGAAAACGCTATACTGTTATTTACACTTCCTTAATCAAACAAGTACACTGACTACAGTCTACAATATATAGGCAGTAAAAGGAAGACTAAAAGAGCCTAGGACTCTAGCAGACACAAGAACATAAACATGCACAAGAAATAATAAAGGCACAATAAAACACAATAAAAGCACACAATGAATCTCAACAGAAGGTATGGATGAAACAAGTTGGACGCAGCACCTGATGAATTAATACAGTGGAAGGAGTCATTCCAGGAACAGTATTAACCTCTATAATCAGAACCTGTAATCACAAAGGTAGACCAAGCGAAGCCATCACCATAAAATTGAAATCGAGACTAGGCAGGCACATTGATCGCTAGCTTCCAAACTTTTCAATAGCTTTTATCACATCATATCATAAAGTGTAGTGCTGTGTCTAGTTAAAGGGGAACCGGGAGAAAGCATTCCATTTTCGAAGTTTCCTTTTATTAAAATATAAACACCAATTTGAACAATGACTCGATGACATACCTCACCACTGTCGACATGAACAAATGCATCAATACGGGAAAATCCTTCCAGCCGCAAGTTGTTTGCAATAAGTTCAATGTGTTGTTTACACCTCTCCAAGGCCCCACTACTGATTGAAGAAAAAGGAAGTATTTGTAAGCTTAAGATAGAAGAAGAAAAATATTTGCACGAATACCTACCGTGGACCGTGGTCTAAACTCACATGCTACAGAACTACAGAAAGCAAACATATTATTAAAAGTAGAGATGGGGTATTCATTTAAAAAAAATACCAAAAGGTATTGATTTAAAATAATGTTACGGAGCAGGTGGTATTCAAATGAATAGTCACAGCATATAGCATTCGAAAGAAAATCTCACCCCAAAAAAAAAAAAAAAAAAGAGGAAAAAAAAAATGAACCTTATAATTGATGGTGGCGGTGGAGTCAGATTGATGCCGGTTCCACCTGCAAGGAAACATCAACTTGATTACATGCAAAATGATAGTTTACAGGCTATTAGTCCTTAAGGTTAACTCCTGTTTTTGGTTCTATACCATAGAAGTACCTTGGAATTTCTCCTCTAGTGATAGTATATCTCCGGATTCTTTAACTGTAATACTAGGAGTCAGTGAACGCATAGCTCCGAGCTTTCCAACGACACCGACAGTGATTTCTACCCATCTACTGTCTCCTTTCCAGAGCAAATGATGTGCATTCTCATTTCTTGATTTGGATGAGACAGTGATCGCATCGGTCTCAATAAAGGGCTCAAATATTAAAAGCTCTGGGGGATTATTTGGCATCTCAATCATCCCATGTGCCTATTTGAAATGTCAAGAGAAAGACAAAATAAATAAATAAATAAATGGCAATTAAAATTCCAGTACCAACTCTCCCTGCAGCTATACGCTGTAAGGTGAATCATGATTCACCAGAAATTTAATCCGAAAGCAATTAACCCAACCATGCCTGGAAGTTTTTAATCCGTAACATTAGTCCACTTTACACGAGAAGCTTAAATAGCGGGGAAATGCTCAATTACTTAGAGCAAGGATTATTATAATAGCATAGAAGAGATATGGTGAAATATTAATGGCACTGGAAGAACTAGTTTGACTAATGATGAGATTACTCCACACTGATTGTATTACAGAAATACTGTATCCATTTTGTGATTATTTGTAGTTATAAGTCGTGCTGATACTTTCCCATTCAATACCAATAACATCAATAAACACAAGCCAGCATACAAATATTTTAGAAAAAGATGATTATATTCCAAGAGTTGGGGAAACAATATATATATATATATATATTGAATATTATTAACTCTATTACAAGGTAGTATCTGTTCTATACTTTCTCAAACTGTTGAAGACCAAAGAGTTAATACCCCACCACCGGGGTTCGATCCTGTGACCTTCCCTCAAGGGGAGACACAGAGGTGCCATCTGAGCACGAGGTGCTTGGCGGGAAACAATTTATATTATTATATATATAATAAAATAAATCACAAGTACATATATCACCTTTGAAAAACTGTTGGGAGGAATCCGAGGAAGGCAGTCCTCCAATGCTTTTATGTAAACTGTGAGGTCCCCATCACAGCTGCATGATGATAGAAATTCGCACCGAAAGATTAACAGTAGAAGAAAAACAGTTAAAGCTCAACAGCAGTGAAGCACTGGTAATCTAGTGCCACGTATGTCAGTATGTATTTATATTGAAAATCGGATGGTAACAAACCATAATCTTGCTACTCCAGTCGAGCAACCATCTCTAGCTGGTTTAACACATAATGTGTTAGAACGAAGTTTTGTTATCAAGTCATGCCAGAGTCCAGTTACAGGCAATTTCAGCAGCTCCTCTTTTCTCTTTACAACTTTATTTATGGTTAAAACTCCAGAATCTGCAAGCTGTCCAGTACATATGTTTGATACTTGTCAAAATCGATAGATTCAGTAATGTGTAATTGTGTATGGATAACAGAAATTTGATGGTTACCTTGAGTCAATAAACAGTGATAGATACAAACATTTATAAAACAAGTTGCATTGTAGGGGTCAAATTCCTGTTCTTAGAAGAAAATAGTTCTGTGGTTTCATCAAATAGAATGCAACTTAAAAGCACTGTTACTTTCGGTATATCATCTTTTAGGTAACAATTTATTCACCCATTCTTCTAATCACAATTCTGAGTTACAAGCATGTAGATTTATCCAAGTCACACATACAGCGTAACTTACATTTTCTAGAGCAAGTGAAGTTGCAACTTTGTCCATACATGTTCTCGAAGCCACCACACCAGTACCTATAATTCAGAAAATAGATAATCAGCTATGTATTTTAAGATATTAGATTATCTTTCTGTTTCTTGAGAACACGGAAAGTTTACCTGTGTAAGGGACTCCTTCATCCTCAAGCAAAGACTGGAGCGTGCCATCTTCACCAATGCCGCCATGTACTAACCATTACACGAGACAAACATTGCATCACTCAATAGGCTTCAGAATTTCTTGAACAATACTTTGAACAGTTCAGACATATTATTTGTAAATTGACATAATCTGTAATACAAGGTACCTGCAATAAAGACTGTTGCTTGAGTTTCCTTGGCTAGCTTGACCCAGTCCTCGAGGGAAAATCTCTCTGGTAATTCATCAGATATATCAAAACCATGGAACCATTCATGATTTCTCAAACCTTCCATGAGATCAGTCATCACTTGGCTCCGTAGATGAGATGTCAATGCCACTCGATCAGGTTCAATTGCCTCCAAACAAGCATCAAGGACTTCTTCTATAGTATGTCTTAGGATAAGGGAATAGCTGCATGAAAAAGAATGAGCACTGAATTTCCAAAAAATTAACTAATTAATTAATTCAACCAAAAATTATGCAGGATAGCCTCAAGATTGCAAAGGGTTTCAGCTACTTCTCATAAAAGTGTTCAATTGGAGTTAATACCTTCAATGATCCTTCGAGTATTAGCGATTTGCCAGTTGTGGTCATCCGAGTTTTAAATGACCTCCAATGGTCCTCTATGTTTAAAAAATAACCACTCGTGGTCCTTTTAGGACGTCTCGTGGTCATTTTAAACTCGGTTTTTTTAAAGAATTAGGACCACAGGTGGTTATTTTTTAAAACATGGAGGACCATTGGAGGTCATTTAAAACTCGGATGACCACAGCTGATAAATCGTTAATACTCGGAGGACCATTGGAGGTATTAACTCTGTTCAATTGTTACATTCTTTTGAGATGATCAATCTAAATAAACAGGGTGTCAAACCTGAATTAAAAATCTTACAAGGCAATTAGGAATTTACTTACGGTAATGACCATACTGTCCTAGACTTCACACCCTGCTTATTATCATCCAGTTTAGATGAATAACCATTTCCAGGGGCAAGTAAACATGGTGTCACCTCAAGCTGTAAGCAGAAAAAGTGCAATGACATGTTATTTATTTTAGATACAAATATTGGCAAATCAAATGCCAATACGATTTAACTCAATGCTATGATGTTATGAATGAAAAGTTCTTATATACTTGGAAGTTAATCTGCTGCAAATAAAGTGAACATTACACGATGATTAATATATAGTATATACTCACATCATCAAATGCTCGCAAATTAAGCCAAACATTAGTTCCACTTATTAGAGATACTTGACGTTCAGAAGTATCACCACCAAAGATAACAAAAGCTTTCTTCTTTTGTTTCGGATTAGGAAGTACTTCAGTTGGTGTTGAGGAATTTGGTTTTCTTTGTGAGGCACCTGATATGATACTATTGGACAGAAGAGCTGGAAATCGCAGGCAAGCACGTTGAATAATTGTCCTCAGGACATTTGAGTGTGAAAAACCAACCTACACAATGAAAATAAATAAAATGCAAAGAATACTCCCAAGTGCAAGGAATTGCTACATTCGGAACAAGGAAAACAACCTATGTCCTTTCAACCATTTAACAATCTTACAATCGTGATCTTGAATATCCAATCAACAGCAGTTCTTTGTTTACCTTTGATGCTTGCTGAAACAGAAAACTTGTTTGCTCCATTCCACTAATCTAGAGAGACATTAGGAATCAATCAATGAATAATTCCAGGATACCACTAACATGAAACAGAGAGAAAGTCGAGGTCTCTCACAAGGTTGATGTCTGTAAATATTACTGTACCCAGATCAGTTCTTCCTAATTTGTTTCCTACAGAAGAGGAAACATGACCAGAAGACGGAAGAAACCAACCATCAATTCTAGCAAAATCACGCAGACCAAGTCTTTGAAATAATAACGATGCTCCTTCACGAATACTTTGAATTACTTCAACAGGAAATCGAGGTGGAGTGTGATAGGCAACCTGCAAAGTTTATACACAGTCCCTTGTGTATTAAATTTAAAGAAATGAATATAGTCAAAATAGTTTCATACAATGATGTGCCACTATTTTTGAATTCCATATCACAACAGAACTTAAAGGGGAAAAGTATGTATTAGAAGTTATGTACCTGTCGTGTAGGAAGGTACTTCCTTCTGTAGTTGAATATTGCATCCTTTTCCTTAACATTAGCATTATCATGCAATTGAAGCTCCACCTGAATCATTAAATTATAGGGTTAGACACTTAACAGGGTATATAGTGCCAAAGACCTTCTGGTCAAGCGGCATGAAGTGACCCTCCCAAGTGGGTGGTCATGGGTTCGAGCCTCAGTGGGGGCGATATTGATTCGTTGGGCTTAGTAGGTTGAGAAAGTATATATGAACAGATACTACACGTAACAGGGTCAATAGTACTCAAAAAAAAAAAAAAAAAAAAAAAAAAAAAAAAAAAAAAAAAAAAACAGGGTATATGGTGAATATAAATAGATAATGTAACAAGTAGCATAATAGTGATCAGGTTTCACGTAGTTTCTACAGCTATGATGCAACTCTATTAAGTTCTCTATCCTTAATCTGGTATCTTCAAGATTCCACACTCAGGTAATTAAACATAATAATCAAATGAGTGCAAGATGTATCTGTAATATTGTTGAGAATTACAACACTATATTATAACCAATGGAAAATGACAGCATAGTACACACCTCACTTGGCAGTAAAACAACAGGCTGGCAATCAAAACCTGAACCAACATCAAGGACAATTGCTGTGAATTCACTCCCTCCTTCAAGAAAAATCTCAATAATGACTTTATCATCTATTCCCTGGCTTAAATAATGAACAAAGCATCACTGATTAAATAGAAAGCTGAATCACAATCTATAATTAAAAAAACAAAAGTACATTCCAATGCAAATAAATATTTCCCTAATTGGTCTCAAACATGACTTGGATAACAAGTAAATTGAAAACAGAATAGATAATCACAAAAGAATACAAGAGGTTACCTCAGAAATGATTGCATTAGCTTTTAGGAGAGCGTCAGTGACACCATAGGCAACAGTAACTCCAATACTTGATCCAGCCTTTGTTGGCTTCACCTGCATTTTCAAAGAAAAAAGTTCAGATTGTCAAAAAGCTTAGCTGGTACTGCAAGAGAATTCAGAGGAACACAGGGAAAATTCTTACCACAACTTTCCCCAGTTTAATGTCCAATTTGTTTCTTTCAAACCAATTCAGCAGTTTGGATTCATCCAAATCATTTCCCTGAAAGACATTTTAAAAATTAAGCGGAGTTAAGTGAATAACAACAATATACTCATTGTTAAGCCAAGTTCAAAAGTATAGTTACAAGCTTGTATAGATGTATCACCAAAAAGAAACATAGGGCAGCACCTGTATTAAGAAGTTGGGTACTGTAACAAAACCTTGTTTGTCAAGCTCCAATGCGGCTTCATACTGCCAAAATTTGGAAATTAAAGCACACAAAAATACTGGGTCTTTAATCAGACGGCAATCGACAATTCAACATTAACATCAATCCAGATTAATCAAATACTATTCATGCAAAATAAAACATAAGGTGTCAGCAGAACAGAAACATACTTTATCAAATGCTTTTTGACATTCAGCAGACCTAGTCCCAACAAATGGAATATTATATCTTTCCAGTAGTTCCTGAATAACCACCAAGTAAAACCAAAGACTTATTGGTAATAAAGAATATACAAGGAAAGAAAATTACTAGAATTGTTTGAAGCTACACAAACTATCACCGGGTATAAAGTAATTGAACTTATTCAACAGCCACCTGAATACCACCGTCTTCTCCAAAACGTCCATGTATAACAGGGAAAACTATGTCTACAGAAGCAGCAAGGTGTTCTGCAAAGTCGGACAGAGATTCGAAGCCTTGGGCAAGACTGAAAAAAGGAATGAAGTTATGGTGTAGGAACCATTCAAACAATCAAGTAAAGGGATGCAGGTTTAAGAACTAACCTCTCAAGCTTGAAATCAAAGTCTGCAGGAGTGTTTGAGTACACCTATATAAAATTTAAAAACGAAAGTTCAATTATCCAGTACATTTTGGGGTGTTTGGTAAATAGTTGTTAGCTGATTGGGTTAGTGGCTTTGACTAGTTGATAGCATTAGCTGGTTGTAGAAAGATTTTAGATAAATTAGCTGTAAGTTGATAGTTGATTACATGCAAAATGACTTTCTAAAAAAACTGTTCAAAACAACTTTTTGAATTTTTAGAGTTTTGGAGCAATAAGCTATTGGTTGTTTAACCAAGTCAAACAGCTAATAGTGATCAAATAAGTCAAAATTGGCTGATAAGCTAACTATGTTACCAAATAGGCCAAATGCATTTCATAGTAGCTGATTGCCAGAAAATAAAGAACAGACCTATAGCCTATAGGTACAATAACTATGGAAGCATATTGGAGGAAAGAGAGTGAACACAAAATGTAGCCTACTGACCTGAGCTGATGATATAGCAAAGGCTTTGAGGTCACAGTCAATGTAATAGCAGCTAACATGCAAATCATCCCCCTATAGCACCAATTAAAATGGCCATTCATTATGAAAACTGAAAAGCCTCTCATACAAATAAATGTCACTAAAAGAAAGAATATGATCAACCTGGATGTGATCAATAACTGATCGGGCGGAGTTAAGGGAGATTCCCCTTTCCGCGGAGGGTCCACCGCAGATGACTCCGACTCTCAAAACCCTCCCTCCTTTCTCAGCCTTCTCCTGGCGGGCGACACCCCGGCGATCATCCACCACCTCAGTAGAGGAGGAGGAGGCGGATGCTCTAACCACTCCAACTCTGCAACTCCTCCAACCGCTCAAGCCTACACTCACTAATTTGATAATCTCTCTCGGAACGAAGAGCGGCGTCGCCTGAGAAGAGTCTCTGCTGCCGCGGAGGGTAGCCGGAATCTTGGAATTCAGCGAGAGAAAAGTAGCCATTAGAATTAGAAGTTGAAGATTTAACAGAGATTACAGAGGTGAGTGAGAGTAAGAGAAGTGAAGGGTGGTAGTGAGTATAAAGAAGGGAGGTTCGGACGGCAAGAGAGAGAGAGAGGAGTCAAACATAGCCTTCTTCTCTGTCGTGTTCACTGGCTTTGTATCTCTTTATTACATAAAGAATTTGTCAGTAACTCAGTGCGAGTGACGTGAATTTGATCGATTCTTTTTTATCAGTTTAATTTTGTAGGGAAATGAAGACGAAGACGGGGAAGGTGGGTTTTCTGGTTTTTTCTTTAAAAAATATATATATATATTTAAAATTATTAAAATACTCCGTAAATTATAAATTATACGGAGTAATTTTTTTTTTAGTAGGGTAACCCTACGTCAGCCATAATCGGAATGTGTCAATTTTAAGCGTAAATACCTAAAATGGTCATTTGACTATAGCTAAATTCACAAATTAGTCTTTGACTTTCAATTTCAACCAATTAAGTCCTTAACTTTGTAATTTTGAAACGGTTTGGTCCTCCATCTATTTGAGCGTTTGTTGACCGTGATCGACGATCTCCAAAAGAACTTTCAGCTCTAGTCGGAGCACGTGGAGGCCTCCAGGATGACGTTGCACTGGTTCGAAAACACGTCATCTTCTTCGCTCTGGTACGAACTCAACTACATTGAATCCAAAGGGAGGATGAAGAAAGGCGATCGAATTTGGTAGATTGCTTTCGGCAGTGGATTCAAATGTAATCGTGCGGTCTGGAAATGCAACCAGAACCTTAAAAAACTGACGATGGACCATGAAATTACATATATATCCTCAAAAATCACAGTCAACAAACGGTCAAATAGACAGAGGACCAAATTGTGTTAAAATTACAAAGTTAAGGACTTAATTGGTTGAAATTAAAAGTCGAAGACCAATTTGTGAATTTAGCTATAGTCGATGGACCATTTTGAGTATTTACTCCAATTTTAATTAATTGCATAATTTTGGATGATTTAACCGTTCAACAACTCAACAACATTTTCTCATGTAATTTCGTAGCCTATTTAAGCATTATTATTTATGTTTTAATCAATATTTTTCTTTTTTACAACCAAAATATAAATTATATATTAATGAAAATTAGGGATAAGAGACCGAATATAACTAAGCGGGGAATCATCCCAAGAACCCGAGCCAGATTGAGAGTCAATTACCTTAACAAGTGCATGGGTAATATAGTTTACTGACCTCCTAATAAAGGTACATGACAAAAAATCAAAGGACATCATTAACGTGATACAAGTGTGAATAATTTGGCATGTGTGAGATTGGCCTCGAACATTCATTTTTAACTTGTTAAGAACATTTTGACAAGCAGATTCGAGCCTAACGCTCCTAACTCCCTAATTCTTCAACCAGGCAAGAGCTTTTTTGAATATAGCTTGAATCGTCAAATTTGAGTTGGCTGGACTACCACTATCAATTGTATCCTGTAACCATGTACTGAGACTTTGAGCATTACTCACCAAATTCGCGTAGGGGGATCAACACCAAACACCGTGAGTGACACCGCACATGAGAAGTGCATGGTCCTTGGATTTCCTCTTCCTCATTGCAACATGGGCAAGTAGATAACAAGTCCACTCCGGCCTTAGTCCTGAGTCTAGACACAGTAGGTGAAATGTGTAGTATATGGTGAGTGGTATGATTTGTGTGCGATTGAATCCCCGCACGAGATTTCGTCCTCTAGGATGACTAATGGGAGTTGAACAATGTGCGGTTAAGCACAAGTCTGTAAGAACAGTAGGAAGCTATGTCTCAAAGCTTGATGAGAGAGCATGGGCAAAGGAACAAAGCAATGCAATTGGCAATTCACAAGTAAACAAGCAACAAGTTGTAGACAATGAGTAGGAAATGAGACTTGGATTAAGTTTTCCTTGCTCGGATGCAATGAAATGGTCCTAGGTATGGAGTAGTGTAATGCATTACTCATGATCCTTGGAAGATGGTACCCATTGCCAAAGCCACGCACATGGCCATTGGACTATCATGTAGTTCGAGTTCTACTTTTGTAGCAACTTTAACTATTCGAGTCATTTTATCAAACACCCTGAGTCCACATTTTCTTACGGGGTTCGCCTCTCGACGTAAGGTAGGAAATGCAAGTGGAAAATGCAATAGTGTGGTCCCAATCTCTTGGCGACTACATGCCTCCTAGTCATGTACAATGTGGACATTAGGGATGTCAATCAGGCCAGCCCACTCGGTTTCGGGCTAGCCCTGTCGGGTTGTCGGGCTAATCGGTTTATTAATATTTTATTCTCGAGTTCGGTTTGGCCCTAACCCTAAACTTCGGGTTGTCGGGCTAATCGGGCGGGTTGAGCCATCTGAAATAAAATTAAAAACTGAAAGTGAGTACCCATATTTAGAGTAGAGATGACAATGGGGCAGGTCGGGTCGGAGCGGGTGCGGGTGCGGGAAGTATACTCCCCGTCCTCAATGAAAAATTGAAAATAGTCCCAATCTACGTTCTCGCAGAGAATTTGGCAGGGACAAAGAATTCCGTCCTCATCAATTTTTAGTCAAAATATTAGACTAATGTTGTTTTAAAAAACTAAAAACTTAAGTTTTAATTTAAAATTATATATATATATATATATATATATATATATATATATATATATATATATATATATATATATATTATTCCATGTATGTTAGGTTTCACATCACTTATATAATAAAAAAATAGTTTTCAATAGTTCGAGTTGTCGGGCTAGCCCTATCGGGCCACCGGGCTAATCGGTTTCGGGCTCGTCGGGCTAATGTGTTTTATCAGGCTAGCCCGTTCGGGCCATAGCCCTGTCGGTTTCAGTTTTATCGAGTTCGGGCTAAATTGACATCCCTAGTGGACATCATCATACAAGAGTCTATACAAATTTCACTCCTAACAAGGATCAAGTCAATGCATTAAGGGTCCGTTTGGAAACCTGGAAAATATTTTCTGAAAAATAATTTCCAAAAAAATGACTAATTTTCCTAAAAAATATTTTAATTTACTTGTGTTTGGAAGAATGTTAGAAAACTATCTTTTTCCTGTTTGGCTGAAAGTTAAGAAATTACAAATTTTGTCTTTTTGGTGCATTTTCCTAAAAATAACATATTATTTGTTATATAATAATAATAATAATAATAATAATAATAATAATAATAATAATGATCAAATGAGCTCTCTGGACTGGAGAAGCGGTACCTCCGCTAGACGTGCGTCGAATACCTGGAAGGGCATCTGCGGAGCTTCCGGTCTGCTGGACAGCGGGCTCACGAGAGTTGTGAGGAACGGGAGGGATACGAGGTTCTGGATGGATAAGTGGGTACAGGGTCAAAGCTTATACGAACACATGCAGCGACCAGTGAGCTTGCCGGAGTTATACGCACCGGTGGAGGATTATTGGGATCGAGGGCGCGGTTGGAAGTGGGAGATGATCGAAGGGGTCCTGGGGGATGATTGGAAATCCAAGCTCCATGCATATGTCGTTATTGATGAGGATGGTGCAGATGATGACTGGGGCTGGGGGCTGGAGATGGATGGCAGATTTTCCGTCCGATCAGCATATAACGCTTTATGCGCATACACAGGCGCGCCATGCGATAAGGATTGGATGCGGATTTGGAAGATGCACATCCCCAACAAGATGAACCATTTTTTGTGGCTTGTTAAACAGGGGAAGTTAATGTCTAATGTGGAGAGGTGTAAGCGGGGATTTACGACTGATCCTCTCTGTTCGTTTTGTGCAGGTCGGCGCGAGACTCTCGATCATATCTTCAGATCGTGCGATGATGTTCGGGGTTTCTGGGAGATGTTTCTTTCTAGAGGCACGGCCCAGCGGCTAGGCAGGTTGGACTGGACGGAATGGCTTGCAGCGAATCTAGGGGCCGATGCGAGAATGGGCTTCCCGGATGGCTGGCGTGAGCTGTTTGGCCTTTGCATGTGGTGGTGCTGGAGATGGAGGAATGCAAAGGTCTTCGAGGGCACGAGGCTGAGTCTCGTGCAACGCAGAGAATGGATTCTTTCTCAGTACGGGGAGATCAAGGAAGCCTTCAATAATAAGTGGAGGCATAGAGCCAGAGCTCCGGTGAGCAGCGAGGCGATTGGGTGGACGAAGCCGCCTGATGGGTGGTGGAAGTTGAACACAGACGGGTGCTGTAAAGGGGCGGCAATGAAGGCTAGGTGTGGTGGAGTTTTGCGAGACCATGGTGGGCGATGGGTCCAAGGGTTCACGCATAATATAGGCGCCTGTGCTGTGGACGATGCGGAGGCCTGGGGTGTCGCCGTTGGCCTGCGTATGGCGGCTCAACGGGGTGTCTCCCATCTGATTGTGGAAAGTGATTCCCTCCGCACTATCAAGTGTCTCCGGGCGAACGTCAGGACTGGGAGGGAGAGCAATATTGTGAAGCTGTGCTTCGTTGAACTGGGTAGGTTCCAAGTGGTGGAGCTCAGACACATCGGGAGAGAGTGCAATAAAGTTGCCGATCGCCTAGCCTCTGCCGCACTTGATCATGCTATTGGGACTCATACGCTTGCCAACCAACCGGTGTGCGTCGACGCTTTGATGTGGGAAGACAGAGTTGGCGCGAGGGCTTCTGCCGGAGGGTTAGCTCAGAGTAATCGCTAGTATGGCGTGTTGTTCCCCCCGGGCGTTTTGCCCTCTTCACGATCCAAAAAAAAATCAAATGAGCTCTCTTTGTGGGGGGAATTCCGGATAACCCGGGTTCGATTCCCACAAGTGATGATCCCTTTTGGGCCAGCTTCTGTGCCTCTCAAATCGAATCGGGTGGACTTGGACCGTTAAATGGACAGAGAAAGACTCAGACCACAATGTGTGGTTGACACCAAAATATATATATATATATATATATATATATATATATATATATATATATGTATATATATATATATATATATATATATATATATAATGATAATAATAATAATAATAATTAATAATAATAATATTATTATTATTATTATGTGGTGATGGTGGTTGTGGTGTTGGTGTTTGTGGTGGTTGTGGTTGTGGTTGTGTTGGTGTTGGTGACGGTGGTGTTCGTGTTGGTGACGGTGGTGTTGGTGTTGGTGGCAGTGGTGGTGGTGGAGGTGGTGGTGGCGGTGGTGGCGGCAGTGTTAGTGGTAGTGGTGTTGATGTTGGTGGTGTGGTAGTGGTGGTGTTAATATAATAAAGTGGAACCTAACTTTAAAAAGAAGA